ATCAGTGGAGGAGGAAACGTTAGGAGAAGATGGTCCGATGGTGCCTGAGATGTCGGAGGTGGAAGAAATTCGAAAAAGAGAGACGATGGGAAAATTAAATATGTGACCTACACGTGGCTGTGAAGGCCGAAGAAGCACTAGTACAAGTGGTTCTTTGAAGTCCCAACCACATCTCAGACAGATTGTAAAGTTAGGATCACTGCATGTTTAGATGTTCTAAGAATCTGGAGAATTAACACAGTCCTTTTCGAGCATAATCATAAAACAAGTTCTTCTAAGTCGAGGTTGTATCGCTGCAATCGAGAATTAAGTTCACCTATGAAACGACAGCTTGAAGTGAATGATATTGCAGGAATTCCCTTGCACAAAAGTTTCAATTCTGTAGTTAAGATACGACAATATGTGTCAGGCTTTTGCATAGCGGCTAATGAAGAAGTGCGGTCCCATGCCATAAAGGAGTGTATAATTAATCAAAAACAAAAGTTAAGTACAATAAAGTCAGGAAGTGGCAGTAATGTCAACTATGCAATGAATTTGAGAACAACGCGAAGCGGAAGCATACGGGATCCTATATCGTCGAGAAGAAAGGGAGTGCCGAAGAAGTTTCGAAAAAAAAAACTGTTGGAGTCCTTTTCAAAGAAAGCAAAGGTATGTTGGTCAGTCTTTTTAACGCCTTACACAATACTCCATTTTGGTTACTGTTTAATTTTTTACTACGTGCAGGCTACGTCAACTTCAACGAAAAGCAAGACGTCGACCTCCAGGCACAGTAATACGCCATCTCTTGCACCCATCGTTCAAGCATCTCTACAACAATGTATGCGAACACAGTTTTCGTATTCACGACTATTGTTGGTTAGTATACTTAGTTGTTTGAACCACAATTTTCTACTAAAAGCACATTTTTTTTCTTATAATGAAATAGTTATCATGAAGGAATAATTTTTAAGAACACATTGTTGCAAACATCGCTTTCTCGTTATTGATATGTTACAAGATTTGATTGATTTCTTATTGTAGGGTGACGCAAGCATTCATGCCTTATTGGGACACTTGCCAACCTCAAATTTAGTCCCTTCGACGTCAACAAATCTGATATTCAGTTCACAAGGTTTATAGTTTGTTTAAATCTTTACATTTGCATTCGACTAGTTTTTATACGCATACAAACATTCATATTCTTCGGTAGGTCATTCGGTTCCATACTACTTTCCAAAATTCCCGCAAGGAGGCGACCTAACTGGCCTATGAAGCAAGACGAGTCCAATCATGTGTAATCTTGTTATTGATCGTGAACCTCCGCCTATATAGATTTCTAGTTTAGAATAGTGTTCAAATTGTTAAATGCAATGTCTTCTCTAATTATTCCGGTAGTGGAATGTAGTGGTGTTAATGGGCCGAGCTGAGCCGGCTCGGCCCATTGTCTCACGAGCTCAGCTCGTGCGAGCACGAGCCGAGCTCGTGGCTCGTTGGTAACGAGCCGAGATTGAGCTCGGCTCGTGCCCGAGCTCTCAAAGAAAGCAAAGGTATGTTGGTCGGTCTTTTTAACGCCTTACACAATACTCCATTTTGGTTACTGTTTAATTTTTTACTACGTGCAGGCTACGTCAACTTCAACAAAAAGCAAGACGTTGACCCCCAGGCACAGTAATACGCCATCTCTTGCACCCATCGTTCAAGCATCTCTACAACAATGTATGCGAACACAGTTTTCGTATTCACAACTATTGTTGGTTAGTATACTTAGTTGTTTGAACCACAATTTTCTACTAAAAACACATTTTTTTTCTTATAATGAAATAGTTATCATGAAGGAATAATTTTTAAGAACACATTGTTGCAAACATCGCTTTTTCGTTATTGATATGCTACAAGATTTGATTGATTTCTTATTGTAGGGTGACGCAAGCATTCATGCCTTATTGGGACACTTGCCAACCTCAAATTTAGTCCCTTCGACGTCAACGAATCTGATATTCAGTTCACAAGGTTTATAGTTTGTTTAAATCTTTACATTTGCATTCAACTAGTTTTTATACGCATACAAACATTCATATTCTTCGGTAGGTCATTTGGTTCCATACTACTTTCCAAAATTCCCGCAAGGAGGCGGCCTAACTGGCCTATGAAGCAAGACGAGTCCAATCATGTGTAATCTCGTTATTGATCGTGAACCTCCGCCTATATAGATTTCTAGTTTAGAATAGTGTTCAAATTGTTAAATGCAATGTCTTCTCTAATTATTCCGGTAGTGGAATGTTTGTTGGACATGAAAATTGATTTGCCATTTATATTGATAATTTAATAGCTTGGAAGTGCTTGCAAGTTTGTGAAATATTTTGGGTCTTCAGATGAGTTGGACTACCATTTAACTTGTTCGTTACATTTTCATGCCACGAAATGTTGGACTGGGTGACATTATAACCAAATTTCTCTATACTAAACCATTTTGGCTGCTATGACATGATTAATTTATTCATCAATGGTACTATAAATTGAGTCCAGTTATTTAAAGAAATGCAGCCACTAGTAGAGACATCTTTAATGAAATCACATAAACATAATTGTAACTTAAGTTTATAACATTATAATTTGGAACGCAAATCTTAAATTACACGATCAATATCATAATGAATCGATAACATAAAAGCTGTCTAAGCAAGTACATGACCATTTATGGATGCAATCGACTCCGTTGAGTAAACAAAATCTAGAAAAGTGCAATAACAAATACAACTACTCAGCGTGGCGACCCCCTTCGTTTTCCATTACCATCCGAGCGCTCTTTGCCCTCACAGAATGTCACATTTAACGAAATCTCAAGGCTTTGTTTATCAGCTATTCGAGCTAGACTGTCGAACATGTTAGGCAAACTGTCAACTACCTCTTTAGTATTATGGTTCGTTTCTTCATCAGTGGTACTTGACTCACCGTTTGGTTATCGTCTTTTACCCAAACAAAGAATCCACAATCAGTACTGCAAGTTTTAAATAGCCTTCCTTTGTTATTGTCCTCATTTTCAACCTCAAAACATTTCTAGATACCATCTACATACCGTGGACAACAACGTTTTCTATTGCATTCTTCGAATGAGTGTAATGTGCTTCTACAGCTGTGACAAATACCATAATTCCTGCCCCTCATCCATACACGGGAAACAACTACATGCATCTGAGGTTGTAATATATTGGTAACAATCTTCATAATTTAACAAAATCAGAGAAACATGCTCGATCGGATTAAACACACAATTCTTTGGACTAATTAAACAACATTGCACTTTAGTGTTGAACATGTTTAAAATATTTTGCATAAGGGAAATCAAGGATGCATACTCTACTCAGTATCCAAACATGCACTTTTCAAACTACGAAAATAAGTAAAGAAGAGTGGTTTGAACAATAAAACCAAGAAACAAATCAAGCTGAGCACATAACTCTAATAAATGAAATAACAACCATAGAACAATGATTAAACCTGTGGCATTTTCGGTTATTCATTAGCTCAAAATTATAACTGCATTTTCGGTTATAACCATACAGGCTGTTCAACTTAATGCAATCTACAACAATGTTAGATAACAACTCGAGAAGCTTACATTCATTGATAACCGAAGAATAACTAATCAAGAGAGTGGGGGGTGAATTGATTTTTGAAACTTTTTCGATAATTANTCCCCGTTACCAAGCTCTCTGTCACGAGTAAGACCAAATGCACTATTATGGTAACTTACAACAAGGAGTACCAATCCTCAAGTGATTTACAACAAGAAGCACATATCCTTAGGTGACTTACAACAATGAGCACTTATCCTTAGGTAACTTACAATAAGGAGGACATATCTTTACAATCGAGTTTTCACAAGGCTCTCTAAACCGTCAAAATGTAAGCGATAATTTTACAATTGAAGAAACTCTCTTAACCAATGATATAATCAAATTAAGTGTTAGAGAGTTAGGTAAACACTTCAATAGATAGAAAATAATAAAACTCACGTGTTTGTGTTGTAAAATTTGATAAATGATGGATAATGAAATAGTTTGTATCTTTGTATCAAAGTTTTCAACCTATGATCTCTCTTAATAAATAATACAAGTTAAGTATGAAGAGAGATTTACACTTCAATATAAGTGTTGACAAAGAACACTTTTATCAAGAATAGAGAAATAGATGGGATTGAGAAGTTTTCTTTCAAAGTAGAATTCTTGATGAAATAGATGAAACTGATTTTAATCAATCAAGAGATTCTTTGTAATAAATGAAATATAGTATAAAATCAAATAAACTCAATGATTTTCAATAAATAAACTCTCTTAATTGCTCTTGTAAGTTGTTGGAATTGAATGCAAAAGAGATGGTCATTTAGAGATCAAAAGATTGAAAATCAAGACATTTCGTTGATTAATTTCGGTTGACCGAAGTGTGAATATAGCCGTTGTAAAATTCAAACTGTTGGAGTTTCGGTTGATACTTCGGTAGACCGAAGTGTTCAAACCGATAAGCAGTGTCAATACCGTAAGATTCTGCAAATACGGTAAGCAGCTGACTTCGGTTGACTGGTGTATACTTCGACCGAACTATACAAGTTCTGAAAATTAGTTTTTATATCAAAGTATTCATTTTTTCAAAATCATTTTTATGCAAATGATGAATTATGAAAAATAGTTTGAGCTTTATATACTTGCTAAAGATCGATGAGTTAATACATTTACATATAAATTGAAGTTTTAACAAACAACTTTCAAACTCTATTCTTTAAAGTTCTTGTTCTCTTCGAGTCTCTTTTGATTGCTTGTTATTCAATGGACGATGATTTAAGCCTTTGAATGTTTAAGAAAATTTATTCATGAAAAATTCAAGAAACAAGATTTGATAGAAATATAAGTGTATTGTTTTTTATAATCAAAACAAGTGGAGCTATATTTGAATCATAGGTCAACATTCATTACCTTCGTTTGGACGTCAAATCAGAAATAAGTCCAAAGAACTCTTCAACACTATTAGCTTGGATCAGAAGCCACAGAACCAGAACTTGATCTAGCAATTTGGTAATCTTTTCTATAGAATGGATTTGAATTCTCTCCAATATAGTAGTTTCTCTTTATGCAAGACACACTACCTCTGTCGTACCCAAGAAGCTTAGACTGATTACTATGGCCAATAAACCTCCCACTAAGTATCTCCAAAAGCAATATTCCAAAACTATTTAAATGTCAATTTTTAGTACTCAAATTATCAGGAGTCACATAACAGGGATCCAAATAACCCATTGTCTACTAAATCCCTTATTTTCATCATTTGCAACTTTTAAATAAAATCAATCTGAAATCCAAAAATCTTACCTTCTGAGAACGCTACGGAGTCGGTGATAGTTCCAGGTGACAAGGGATCGATGGCGGCCAAAGATGATGACGACAGCATTGACAAAAATAGCAGGTTTATCGTGGTTTGTGGACTTTATAATATGAAAAAGATAAATACGTTGTAGAGGTCGTTGTTTGATGGATTGATGGCGCCGACGACGTTGACAAAAGCATCGGCGACATCGATTGGAATTTTGGGTCTTGGATCGGTGGGAACACGAAAATGGCATGGAGAAAGGGAAAGTGAATGTGATTTAACGTAAACGGTTTCTTTTGTTTTTTACTTTTTTTTTTTTAATTAATGGTTGCCAGCTCATGTGGTGTGTTCCTGTGGGAAAGCTTCTGTATGTATAGCACGACTGTTTTAAAAATCATCACTGTTTAAAAGATTTGTACGAATGACCATTTTACCTACTTTTAGACAAAGAAAATTGACCATTGTCGAAACCTAAATTTACGATAGAAATTCTTCTCCCCTTTTTCTACAGGGAAATTTTTTTTAGGAGGTTTTACTTAATTCTTTGACAATTAGGTAATACAAATGCAGTTCCATCACTTGGAAATCAGCAAGTAAATTGCTAAAAGAACGATTCTAACCTATGATATTAATTATTCCAGAAAGTCCAAAACTACATTAAAGATTTATTCGAAATCTCGTGTAGCCTAGTTTGCTAATTCTAATCATGTTTAATTTATACTGAAAAATTAAGGTGAATGAACATTCTTAATTCTAATATCTCTTTTTGCTGTACTTATATTTTGGTTGACAATTTTGTTCACAGGGCATACGATTTTGTCATTGATTTGAACATTAAAAAGAATCAATGGTGTCGATTCTTATACCTTATGAAATGTCAATCAAAATGTACAAGTAGCTTAGTCATGCTCTGTTCCTCCGCAAACCAACCCAATATCAGTCGATATAACAATTACATCTTGAGTGGCTTGTCTTCCAGTGCCATGGATCAACGGTTTCAATGAAAATTTCGAGACTTGGGATATCCACTGCAGAGTGTGATGGCAGAAGCTTAGCTAACGTCTCACCTGGCATTCAACATGCAGGGATGCTGTGAGCTGTCCAACAGGATCGCCAATAGTTTCTCTGTGTCTTCTTCAATTGTAACCGGGACAGTCCATCCTTCAAATAATAGTTATTATTTTAGTTTAATTCTAGCGTGAGGTAATAATGGGCATTTAATTGTCGTAGAATTTCAGTTGGTACTTAAACTCAGCAATGGCTTCGTCGTTTCGTGATATTGAATAAAATCAATCTGTCAAAATTAATCTTTGGTTGGCAATTTGACAATTCAACGATCTCATATATTTGTGTTCTTATGCACTTAGTCTGCATCATAAATTTCACCTTATATTTCATTTTGTTGGGAAAAGCCTGAAAGATTGCTAAAAAATTGAGGTGTGACTCAATTATAATGTTATTTACACACTTTTATGCAATCAACAACTTTTATAGACTTTTCAACAATACATCTCTGTTAGAATTTGGGTGTGACCCGAATTCCTTATTTGAAGTATTGAAGAATTTTAATTGTAGTGAACATCAAGAAAAATTCAAGTTTGGAATGCTATTGGAATCATATATCAAATTGAAATTCTATTTTGGAAGGTCATTGGGAGTTGGAAATTGATATTATACTTTAAGAAGAGTTCGGAATGGAGAAAAATTGAGATCTCTGTGAAAGCTTAGTTACCTGTTAGAATTTGGGCGTGACTCGAATTCCTTGTTGAAGTAATTGAAGAATTTTAATTGAAGTGCACATCAAGAAGAATTCAGTTTGGAATGCTATTGGAGTCATATATCAAGTTGAAGTTCTATTTTGAAAGGTTATTGGGAGTTGAAAATTGATATTAGACTTTAAGAAGAGTTCGGAATGGAAAAAAACACTTTGGAAGCATATTTTGGAATATTAACCTGAAACTGAGTGCCTGAGCGTTGCTACAATACCTTATCGTGATTTTTTCTCTCCTACTTTGTTTTGGACTCGATTTTTTGGCATACTACTTTATCAACAACTCTACCAAAAGGGTTTTGACGTCATCTACATGTTTCCTATGAATACTAGAGTCTTCTATACAATTTTATAACAATTACATGTGAGAAAATAGATTACTAGAATTATAGAATTTATTGTAATTTTCTCTCTTCTTCATTATCTTGGTGCAATAAAATCTCTTAATTTATCTGTCATATTGTTGTCTTTTTTTATTCTTTTACTTGATCATATACTTCATTATTATTTATCATATAACTTCAACATCTCAATCTGGTGATTGACATCACGACAAGTGGTATCAATCCTAACAAGTGATATCAGAGTCAAGGTTCAGCAGTTCTACAAGAGCGCATGGTTGATTTGTTCGAAGTTTTTTTTTTCGTGATGGCTTCCATGAAATATGACATTCCGCTTTTGGATCGAAACACTAAATTCTCGCTATGGCAGGTTAAGATGCGTGCAGTGCTCACACAGCTGCATTTGGATAATGAGTTGCTGAGTATTGACATGATGCCAGCAACTTTGACCGCGGAAGAAAAATTACGGAAGGATAAAAAGACAGTTTCTCACATTCATATATCAAATTCCATTCTTCAGGACGTTTTGAAAGAGAGGTCAACAACTGCTTTGTGGTTGAAGTTGAAGCAATTATGCATGACCAAGAATCTTACAAGCAAATTGCATGTCAAACAGCGGTTATACTCTCATCGCATGGCAGAAGGAGAATCATTGGAAGATCACCTAGCTGTATTTAATGAGATCGTCGCTGATTTAGAAATATCGGAAGTTAAGTATAATTAAGAAGATTTGGCATTGATCCCTATTGTGTTCGTTGCCCGTTCCTCTTTCTTCATTTAGAGACACAATTTTATATAGTCGTGATACTCTCAGCATTGAGGAGGTTTATGATGCTTTGTTTTCAAAAAAGAAGATGAAGCATCTGATTTCTGATACTAGAGATGGAGAAGGCCAAGTTGCTCATGGTGGTTCTAGAAGGGGCAGATCGAAGTCTAAATTCAGTAATCAAATTTGTAACTATTGCAATAAGAAGGGACACTTGAAGAAGGATTGCTACAAGTTGCAGAATAAAGAAAAGATGGCTGCAAGTAGACATTTAGATACTTCAGGCGAAGCAGACCTCGTGGAGAACGTTGTAAGTGATGGAGAGCTCTTAGCTATTTCTGACATTGAGTCTAAACTGGAAGATGATTGGATTATTGATTCAGCATGTGTTTCATATATGTCTTAATAAGGACTTGTTTGCTACATATGAAACTATTTCCCAAGATGTTGTGGTTATGGGAAACAATGCATCTTGTTGGGTTGCTGGAATTGGTACAGTCAGATTGAAACTTTTGGATGGAACAATTAGAACACTTGGTCAGGCTCAACATGTTCCAAATTTGAAGAAGAATCTCATATCTTTGTCTATCATTGATTTATAGGGTTATGAGTTCTTTGGTGGAGGTGGAGGTGGAGTTTTGAAGGTTTGTAAGGGTACCCGATTATATTGGAGAGACAGAAAATGTCTCAATTATACATCTTGCAGGGTCGTGCAGAATTTGAAAGAGTCAATCAGCACAGGTTCAGTGCCGTGGTGGACATTCGATTTGGTACAATACCTTTAAGAGCTCATAAAGGGTCAGATTTGAAGAATACAGCTCAGTGGAGTTTTGAAGATATGGATAATACCGCTTTGCCACCATCACTTGCGGTGTCATTGTATCCAGTTGCTACCGTTTTGAAGATATGTTGATGTTGATTTTGTTGAGCATGTTTTCAGTGAAGAAAAAAGTGTTCAATCTAGCAAGAAGCCTTCATTAGAAGCATTTAGTAATGATTCTACTTTGGGTGTGTTATAGCCCATTTTGGTTAATTCAAAATCATTATGATTTTTTGGAATCTGAAATAATTCTGCAGAATAGTGCTTGGNACTTTGGAAGCATGTTTTGGAATATTAACCCGAAATCTAGCGCCTGAGCGCTGCTACAGTACCTGATCGCGATTTTTCTCTCCTACTTCGTTTTGGACTCAATTTTTTGGCATCATACTTCATCAACTCTACCAAAAGGGGTTGGACGTCCCCTACATGTTCCCTATAAATACTAAGCTCTTCTATACAATTTTTATAACAATTACATGTGAGAAAATAGATTACTAAAATTATAGGATTCATTGTAATTTTCTCTCTTCTTCATTATCTTAGTGCAATAAAATCTCTTAATTCCACACCATATTCTTGTCTTCTTTTATTCTTTTGCTTGATGATATATTTCATTATTATTTGTCATATAATTTCAACATTTCAATCTGGTGATTGACGTCACAACAAGTGATATCAATCCTAACAATCTCAATCAAAATTTGCTAAAACTTTCTAATAACTATTATCCAGTCTACCATAACCAAAATACCATGATTGTACTTCATGGACAGATATATCTTAAGCGCACACAATCATAATTTTGACACCATAAAACGAATGAAAATTCACAAAATAGTTTAAACCCCTTCAACAAGAAGACAAACTTCAAACTTTTTTAAGGCAGCACAACTAACAAACATAGCACTCCAGATATGAAATTACAGACAAGCAGAAATCATTGGATGTCAGAATATCGAGGATTGCAATAAAGCTAGTGCAGCCCAAATTTATTTCGAGTTCCAAATATAGTACATAGATGACGACAGTAAAATGTACTTGCCAATTCTTTTGAAAAGGACTTACAGGCTGGCAGAGCGGCATTTTTCTCCTGAAAATTTCATCATTAAACAGCAAGATCAAAGCTCACCATCCCATATATCATCAACGGTTCTGTATGAGCCGAATTTCTCATGGACAAAGAAGTGAGCCGTAGTTTGTCTTTCCTGCCAAGTTGAGAAAAAACATTTCTTATGAGCTGTAGAAAGAAAATATGCCTTTCTTCTCAAAATGAAACTTTGTTCGCTGTGTAAAGAAAGGTCTAAATGTGTAGCATCTGGGCAAAAATTTTAACACCAGAATCTTATTTGGTGATGCTGCACACCTGCATGTTTGGCAATTGAATTAAAATTTTATCCATCGTAGTGCTCAATCCAGTCTAATATTGCTAACGCCTCGTAAGTATTGACTTATTAGTTGTACTAATATTTATTGACAAAAATATAAGGGGCTGTTCTCTTTGTGTTTGAGTTTTGTGTTTTGAGTTTTGAATTCATTTTTTGTTTTGTGTTTTGACTGTCCATTTTGAGATTATTGAAAATGTGTTCTTTTTGTCATTTTGAAAAACTCAAAACTCAAAAATCCGTTCTCTTTTAAACCCATTTTCTTTCTCTCTCTCCCATCCGTCTCGCTTCTCTCCCGTCTCTCTCTCCGGTCCGTCTCTCTTCCTACCGTCTCTCTTCCTCTTCTTGAAAACGAA